CTAAGCAGTCAAAGTATGTGTCTACATGGAACCCAGAAGGAATGATTTATTTTTCAAACTAGAAAGCAAGGTAAAAAAAGAAAAACAACAAACACTAAAAAACAAATTAAATTGAAAGAAATAAAATTAATATATCACAAAATGTTAATAGTGAATTCTTTCCTTAAAAGACAAACTATTTTTAAAGACTATGATATGAAATTGTAAAAAGTTAAACTATTGGATTAGGTTAAAAACAAAATCAAACCTACTTATATAAGAAATATAACTAAAACTTAGAAATAAAAGAAGGTTGAAAATCAAGAAGTAGGCAAATGAAAGCAAAAAAAAAACCAACTAGAAATAGAAACATTAATATGCATGGTAGAATTTTTAAAGAAAAAGCAGAATGGGGGGTTATTATGTAATGAAAATATAAGAGGCACCACTAATAGAGAAAATAGAATAATTAAAACCTATAGGTTCTAAACACTGTAGAAGCCAAATCTAAAGCAAAAACAATCAGAAATGCAAGAGCAACCTAACAAAAAATGCAGTGATGGTGGAGATTTCCGTGTATTCTCCCGAGGGTGCATAGGTGATGAATAATAAAGACAGAAAGGAATCAATTAATATGACCGATAATTGGTTTCATGACTATATGTAGACATTATATCCTTCAAATAGAGAATATCGTTTTTTATTATGTTCGTGAAACACTTAAAAAAAAAAATCAATTTTGTACTTGGCCATTAAAAAAAAATACATTTTTAAAAGGTGAACTCTAACAGACCACCTGATCATAAGCTTACTCGGAGAAATGTTTATAGCTTTACATTATTTTTAAAAAGAAAGGTGAAAAATAAAGGAACTAACTATATCCATCTTAAGGTATTAGAAAAAGAGAAATAACCAACCAGAAAAGGAAATTAACAAAGATAAAACACATAGAAAGCAAACAAAAAAAAATATATAAAAAGGATAAATCAAAATGTGGCTCTTCAAAAAGACTAATAAAATAGATATCTCAAGAGCCTGCTGAGAAAAAAAGAGTAAGAGAAGAAAAATATTCAAGAGTTAGAATGTGGGGCAGTGCCTGTGGCTCAAAGGAGTAGGGCGCTGGCCCCATATGCCGGAGGTGGTGGGTTCAAATCCAGCCACGGCCAAAAACCAAAAAAAAAAAAAAAAAAGGAGTTAGAATGGGAAAGAAGATATAATTTAAACAAAGATTCACAGAATTTTAGAGGCTACTATAAGAATCTTGGGGCAACTAATGTGAAAACCTAGTGAAGATGGGTGATTTTCTAGCAAAATATAAATTAATAAGATGGATCCAAGAAGTCATGAAAAATCTGAACAGATCAAGTACCATAGAAGAGATTGGAAATGCAATTAAAAACCTGCTGTTGAAAAAGAATCAGAACTGACTGGATGGCTTCATGGCTACGTTTTATCTACCCTTTAACATAAATAATTCTATGTTATTTAAATTACTCCAGGCCATAGAAAAAGATGAAAAGGCAACCATTTTGTGAGCCTGCAAAACTATAATACCAAAAACCTGATGAAAGACATTACAAAAATAGAAAGTTATAAAGTAATCTTACTTATGAATGGATACAAATTTCTAAATGAAATACCTGCAACATCTATTTAAACCTCACATACTGGAAAAATATTCACTACTGTTTTCTCCTAAATGTCTAATAAAATAACAGTAAAATGATACACTTGAAGGACAAAGAACAGGAAAGGAGGCAACAACAGCAAAATTTTGAAAGTTTGAGAAGAGAGGTATGCGTGGTAAGGGACAGAGCAGACTATAAATGCCTAAAACCCAAGGCAGAGGTAAGTCCAACTGCAGAAATGTCAGGAACTGGAGCAACTGAGTACCTCTGGAAATGGGGGTTCTAAAAGGAGTGGAAAAAAAAATAAATTAATTTAAAATCCACATAAAGGTATTTAAGGCTCTCAAGTCACTTCCACTACCTCCTGGCAGAAGTCTCTTTGGAGAGGGTGAACCAGAAAGAATTGGGATTCAGGAACATCAGGTTTGCTAAAGCAGGACTATCACCCTAAAGATGGGGATTAGGAGGGAGATTAGTCACAGAAGGGTGGGATCCTCAGTCTCCCTTGCTTTATCTACCAGAAAGCTAACAGCCATGCGTATCCTTTCCAGAAAGGAGACTGGTTAGAGGTTTTCTCTATGGGAGTCTGACCAGCCCAGGAGAGGAAACATGTTGATATCCACAAAAGCTCCCAATCAAAGACTGTGCAGGAAAGCCCACCCACCAACAGGTTCCAGCCACACCCACTGAACTCCCAACAACCATATGGTGCATCACTCTCAAATATGAGCAGACTACGAAGGATCACCAGATGTGGGAAGAAATCTAACATGAAAAGCAGAGACCAAAGGGGGGGGGGGAATAAATAAAAAGCACAGGCAGCAGAAAGAAACTTTTAAAAAGCCCTCGATCTCTCTAGAGAGAAAAGAGAAGATACCATATTTAAGAAATAAAAGGAGCATTTAGAGAACAATTGAGAGATCTTGGAGATTAAAAATGGGATAGCAGAAAGGAAGAATCCAGTAGTAGAGTTGGAGGCAGTGTCATCAAATTTAGCAAAACAAGTTCAGGATTCCCAGTTTAATTTGAATTTCATATAAACAACAAATAGCTTTTGACTCTAAGTGTGTCCCATGCAATACTTAGGTGGTCTGGAATTCAAATCCTGTATTTCATCTGATAACCCTCATTGGAAGATGAAGTTGATGAAGGAGTCTACAAGAAAATACAACCAGATTGTCAGGCTTGTGAGAAAACAACTCTGACATGTGAAAATAAATAACCAAAAAAAAAAAAAAAAAAAAAAAAGAAAATACAACCAGAGAGCCAGAGTAACCGAGAGAGAAAAGAAAAGATTAAATCCAAAGTTCAGTTGAGGAAGTCCAATATCTGAATGAGAAGACGTTCCAGAAAGGAAGAACAGAGAGAATAAATTATCAAATTATCAAGGAACTTTCCGAGGACAGAGTGAGTCAGCCCAGACCCGAGCTCCAAATGTAGAAACTACCCAACACTGACGCACATCCCCGTATCCCACAGAACTGCGTATCCCTAATGACAAAACAGGTGATATACAAACCACCTTCAGAGGGTCAGGAATGAGAACAGTAAGATTTCCTTCTGAATTCTCTGAGTAGGTATTTTTTCCAGTCTAAAATTCTACATCCATCCAAACAGATGATCAAATATGAAGTCAGAGTAAAATTTTTTCAGACCTTTAAGATCGTAAAATAAACCTAACTTTTATGAGCCCTTCCTCAGAACAGGACTGGGGAGTGTGTCCTACCAACACGTGAGAGTAAATCAAGAAAAGACCCCAAGAGAGAAGAAAGGGAAATCAGAGCGGTTGATAAAGGGAGAGCTTGGGGTGACAAGTGTGCGGCTGGCGGAGAGGATTATCACTTCTAATTAGAGGACAGAAGGCTCTAGATGGGATATCATTATGAAAAAGATGAATTTCATAGGATATTTGGTGTTTGGAAGCATGAAATGAGATTTCCATTCTGTCAGAGTTTGTGATTGCTATATAAGAAAATTTAAAAAATAAGAAAGTGAGGAGGTTATTAACAATAGAGAAAACCTAAAGTTGCAGGTTTATGTAGAAAGAAATTTAATCATAGTTCATTTCATGACCTAGGTGGGAATACTATTTACATAGTCATAGTAATGCAAACTGAATATTAACCATAATGACGATATAACTACCTGGTGTGGGGAAGGTGTGAGTGTTGCTGGGGGCATATATATATGTGTGGTATGTGTGCGGTGTGTGTGTGTGTATCCTTAGGGTTTTTGTAGATAAAGAAGCTAAATGCCATAACCCAATAGCTAAATTCTGTCCATGATAATGAAAATTGAATTATCAAGAAATAAGTATATGTCACTTGGAAATAGAAAAGCAAAGACCAAAAGACACAGATTAAAAAAAATTATAAGTGTTTAATCTTTTTTAAAAAGTTCAATTTGAAGTGTCAGTAGGGTTAGGCAACTATTTACCTTAATAAAAATTAAACCTTCTAGAATGTAACACATTTTGTTTTACATGCAATCTAACAATGTATCCAAAGAGCAGCACACTTGACCGTGCAGGACTTATTCTAAGAATTCCAGCGTGAGCCAATACCAGGAAATCTATCAGCGTAATATGTTCCATCAGTAAGTTAAATTTTAATAAGAGATCCTATCAATACTAAGAATATTTTTAATACATTTAAGCAGATCTTCCTAATAAAATTTCTGAGAAAATTAGAAACAGGAAAAAAAAAAACCTTATAAAATCTGTAAAAGACTACCAAGAACCAAGAACAGATATTATTCTGCATGGTAAAAGGAGAACGGTAAGAGATTGTTCTGGAAAGGTAGCAACTCCTGTATCACAAAGAACTTTCTCTGTGAAGGTATTTAGACTATATCTTTCCTGTATTTCCAAAATATGAAGGACTGCTTGCATTAGAAGCGTTTATTTTAGGGCCCCAGGAATCTACATTGTAAACAAGAGCCATAGGTTAACCTCACAATGCCTGCTTAGGCTAACAGAAGTTACCAGAGGGTTCAAACTGAGCAGCAACAAAACCCAGTTTCCAAAGATCTCCTCCTTCCCCTTCTGCCCTCAAGCTACCCTTCCCCTGTCATTACAATGGAGGATCAGTATAGTTGTTTTTGTAAGTCAACTGCACTGTTTTCTATGGAAAAGTTGGGTCACTCGGCCTCTCAATCTTGGAAACATTCCTGGAAGCGGCCTGGTTCCTGGAGCATTATCATGCCTTATCTGATTCACAGCAAACAGCAAGATAACGTCTTCCTGGGACAGGGTGAAAAATAAATGCTGTGTCTTACCTGGAAATCTAAAGCTGGCCTATTTTAGTTCTTAAAGTTTGTTATTGTGTTTTTTTTTTTAATTCCATAATAACAACTCAAAATAACTCTCAGAGGTTGTCATGTAACTGTGCCGTGACTAGCTCCATTTTGCTTCTGAGCCCCAGCGGTGATATCGCAGGTTAAGTGCTACTGCTGAGCTCTGCACATGGGGAGGAGGAAGGTGACAACCATGCCTTTTCCAAACTCACTCTCAGGAAGGTAAGGAGAGTATACATATGGGTAACGATGCTGTGTTAATTTGTAGGAACACCCTCATCTTCATCCATCAAGAGCAAAGAAGTTTTACAACCTCCTTTTCACTGATGCCCAGATATGTCTGTTATACTCAGTTACCTCTTGCAACCAAACCTCTCCTTCCCCTTTCCTTAAGATGAAAGGGATCCTAAAGTTCCTTCTATGATGGTTCTTTGAGACAGTAGTTCACCATCTCCGTTTGCTGGCTCTCTGAAAAACAGTCGCTTTTTTTACCCTAGCACTTTGACTTATTGTGGGGCACGTGGTAGAAAAGTGAACTTGGTTACGGTCAGTGCCATTTTTGAAAATGCTGGAGGAAGTAACCAGGGTAGAGGAAGTCCTCGGGGTGGATCTAGGAGTTGGTGACATCAGTCTAGGGCAGCAGATGGGCTGTCTCTAGAGACCTTGGGAGTAATAGTCATAGAGAGCTATAGGGTATCTCAGGGAACTTAAAATAACAGCAACCATAACTGTCCTTCTGGTGACATGGTTCCATAGAGAGCAAAGGAAATCACTGAGTGACCTAAGGAAGTCTCCCCAGGAGACCTCGAAGCAGAAACTTCAGGCAGTGGTTCTAAAAGGTTAGCGTATAACACCGTCACCAAGAAGGCTCATTAGAACACTGATAGCTGAGTCTCTTCCCAGAGTCTGCAATTCTGCAGATCTGGGTGCAGCCTGACAATTTCCATTTCTAACAGAAGCCAGGTGGTGCTGATACTTCTTATACTTGGAAAACGATTGCCCCGTGGTAGGCAAAGGAAATCCTCTCATCAACATCTTTTTTGTTTGGGCAATGACCTTATGCTCTTCTGTTGGAGGAAAGTTAGGAATGCTGGGGTCACGCTTAGAGGTCAGAGTCCTAAGAAAACATTACTCTGCTTGAGGCCAAGGAATAGATTTGGGCCCCCTTTGCCAGATAACTATGCACCTGTTTCCATCAATCAAACCATAACCATGTGTTGAGGGACTCCCGTAATTATTGCTGCTGCTTATCGAGTGCTCTCAAAGCGCTGGGCACTCCATGCACACGCATCTCCACAGCAGCCCTACTGCTGCCTCCACACCAACCTTGCTGGGCACATTGCCAGCCCAGGGCCTTGGCCTATGTAGGGGAAAATAAATATCTTTCCTTCCCATCTTAGGTTTGTGACTGAGGCTCCTATTAACAGAAGACAGTTTAACGAGAGAAAAGTACACAAATGTATTTAATACATGGCTTGGGGCCTTGGTAAGGAAATGTCTTAATGACCTACTTCAGGGGAAGACCCGAAAAAGCCTTTCTAGGTGTTATTTTTGATAAAGAGTCTTACTCTGTTGCCCAGGCCAGAATGCCCTGGGAGCAGCCTAGCAGACGGCAACCTCACACTGCCGGGCTCAAGAGATCCTCCTGCCTCAGCCTCCTGAGTAGCTGGGACTACAGGCACCTGCCACCACCCCTGGCTAATTTTTCTATTTTTAGTAGAGACAGGGTCTCACTCTTGTTTAGGCTGGTCTTTCTAGGGTTCAGGTGAGAAGGTGGAATATGAGAGTGAGCTTTCTGGTTCTGCTGTTTCCTTGAATGCTAAGGTGCCATATTTGGGGGGAGTATGTCCTGAATCCTGCTGCCTAAAACATGCTTCTCCCACTCAGCTCTCGCCTACTCTTCTTCAAGCTCTTTGCACACATACCGTCTTGTCAGGGGGCCCTTCCCTGGCCACCCCATCTAGAATCTCAGCCTGACCACTGCCTCCATACTTCCTATCCCACCTCCCTGATGCATTTTCTCTCCTGAGCATTTGTAACTAACTTGCTACATATTTTCTTGCCTTGTTTATTATCTGTCTCCCTTATTAGCACATAAGCACAAGGGTAAGAATTGTGTCTGGTACGGAGAGTCCAGGACTATCTGGTCCCTAGTTAGAGCCAGCACTTATTGCTAAAACCAACAAAGGGAGCCTTTAGAAAGCCAAGCTTTACTGGGCAAGGATGTGCAAAATTTGGTGACATGATGATAGGAACCCATCAGTTTAAAAAGTAACACATCTGTCATTATTTCCTTGGTTGGAGCTGTTTAAATGCAGGCAGAAAATAAGTAGAAATTTCACAGAAGAAGAGATGAAAAGTGAGAGGTGAGGGGGAGAGAAGCCTGGGCAGAGAAGAAATCTGGGCCCTGGGCAGTTGTCCCTGAGTCAGTGGGTGTGTCCCTTTGCCTTTTACTGGGCGCAGAAACAGCTGCTGCAGGGTTTCTGAAATGACAAAGTTAGCTGAAAAGAACAGCTTCCAAGCAGCCAAGCCACCTAACTCTGGAGGAAACTACAACTCAGTTTCCCCCCCAGAAGTGGCCCCTAGCTCAGCAGCATGGTGGCACTGAAGACCCAGGGACAGGAAGAAGGGATTGCCTAGAACCTGGCTGCCAGCCCATGGCCAGACTCCTGAAACCAAAGGGTGACTCTCAGCCCATGATTTAATCGTGTAAACTCTGGGTTTGGTTGGAAGCACAGTCTGACAGAGTCCATGCCACGTGGAAGATATTAAACATTTCCTCACTTGGCACCTGTTTCTAATGGACAGATTGGAGTGTTGACTATTTTGCAATGACATATAAATTCAGTTCTGGCCAGCGTGGCTTATCTATTATTTGAACATGAAAAAAAAAAAAAAAAAAAGGAGAGTGCCTGAATGGCTGAGTTCCTGGCACTGTGCAAACACGGGCAGGTGCTCAGTCACGCTTTGCAGCACCTACATGAAGAAAGAGGAAAAGGAAAACAGAATCTAAAAACCAGTAAACAGACTTTGCCCACAGTGATCAACTGACCAACTGCTCCATTCAATTCAACTTAAGTCCACAAGCGGCAATTGTAGAAATCAACTTAGAATAGAAAATCCTCCTCTCTAAGTAAAAGTCCAAGATCCTGACCACGGGATCTCCCACGTTGAAAGTCCTCCAATTGCAGAGTAGGCAATTAGACAAACCTTCCTTCCTGTCTCTGTGAAGAACTCTGTGGGGACCTCCTAGGGGCTGTGGAGTAAAGACCACACCCTGTGTCAAGCCAGAGGGAGCAGGTGTCAGGCTGAGGGCTTAGAGGAGGGGAGGGGAATTGTTAATAAAGGGCTCCAAGGTCAAAGGCGTTTGGGGTGTTTCAGGTTAAACAAAATTAAGCCCCGTCTTTTGACTATTTTCTTTGAGACGTTAATGTGCTCTGGGAGTCTGCAAGAGAGGACAGCACAGAGTGGTTTTCAAATATTTGACTTTGGAAGGAAGGCTTTTTTGAAAGAACTCACATTAGAAAAAACTGCTCTAAGCTCGTTTATTCCATCTGCATCCCTGTAGAGGAAGAAGGCTGTGGTGGAAAGAAACACACTTGTTTATAGGCAGATTTGGTTAGATGCGTAGGAAAAGCTTGGGTCACAATTGGATTAGTGAGTTCTTAAAATGGAAATTAGGTTTCCTCAAGCCTGTAAGCCTGATGGTGGCAAAAGGTGACCTAGGGAGGATGCCTTTCCACCCAGGTCTCAAGGTGGACCTTTGCACACTGCAGAGCTCCCAGCTGGACCTGCTGTTGGATTCTAGTCTTCTGTTTGTTATGTTTGTTTCCAAAATGCTGCTTATAACCTACCAAACTGATTTTATTAACCTCTACAGGGTTGCCATCTGCAGTTTAAAAACCCCTTAGCTCTACCAAACTTTAAGCATATAAAAATCCCCAGAGTTGTCCACTACAGTGTGGGTATGTATAAACAATTACATGACCACACGAACAATAAAACACAAATATAGTCTAACAAGGAGGCGGGTAGAAGGGAGGGGGGAGGGCGATTGGTGGGATCTCACCTAATGTGCACGTGTGAGGGTGTTCAGCACGCCCCTGGGTGAGGGGCTCGACTGCGATTTGAACTTTACCTTGGAAGTGAGAACAGTGAAGCCTAAAAATGTGTTCCCCTGTATTAATTTGAAATAAAAAGAAAGAAAAAAATTCTCATACCCCTTTTCCCCCAAATTCCAAATCTCCATTTTACAAAGTATGAGGAAAGCAAAGGCAGGTTGGAGCGAACGTCAGAAAAGGTAATACCTAATACCTGGTTTTGAAAAAGAACAGGGGGAACTGGGGGTAAAACTGTTAACCCTTTGCTCTCAAATTTTAAATATGATTTTAAATTGTCACATTATTCTGTTAACAATTCACATCTATTCCCTGTGCTGGTTCTAACCGAGATCCTAGATGAAATCCTAGATAGCAGGATTGCTATGGCTTCGGCCTGTAGCCACGTTGGGAGGCTGCCAGGTGTCGGGGAAAAGAAATATTTATCTTTTCCATCTTGCATTCATGGCTGGGGCATCTATAACAAAAGACAGATTAGCAAGAGAAAAGCATACAAGTGTATTTAACATAGATTTTACATATAGGAACTTTAAGAAGTAAAGACCTAAAGGAAGAGGTAAACCCATGAATTTTTATGCTCGGTTTGATGAAGTGAATGGTGTGCAGTGTGACTGGACAGAAGGGGTATGACCTAATGGCAGTACACCGGGGATTTAGTGAAGCTGGTTTGTTCAGGTGACTCTGGGTCCCTGAGTCTCCAGAGATAAAGTTGTTCCTTTCTGCCAGGTATGAGGGGGGCACCTCCCCACAAAGTTTGTATGATCTGCTTCCGGAGAGAAGAGGGAGGAAGGGGAAGGTGAGAGTGACCTTCCTTTTTCTGCTGTTTTCTCAATGCCAAGGAGCTCTGTTTGGGGCCAATATGTTCTGAACCCCAGCACAGGTAATCCCAAGGTAGGTTGGCTCTTCTCAATTACTGTCTTTTTCTTTCTTTTATTTTTTGAGACAAGAGTCTTACTTTGTCACCCTCGGTAGAGTGCTATGGCATTATAGCTCACAGTAACCTCAAACTCTTGGGCTCAAGTGATTCTCCTGCCTCAGCTTCCTGAGTTGTTGGGACAATAGGCACCCACCACAATGCCTGGGTATTTTTAGAGATGGGGGGGGGGGTCTCACATTGGCTCAGGCTAGTCTCAGACTTGTGAGCTCAGGCAATCCACCAGCCTTGGCCTCCCAGTGTTAGGATTACAGGCATGAGCCACAGCACCTGGCCTAACTCAGTTACTGTCTTAATGTTAGTTCCTTGTTTCAGAGCCTGGGCTCAGCTTATTTTATTTTATTTTTGCTGGGAATTCATTGAGAGTACAAGAAACCAGGTTACACTGATCACATTTGTTAGGTAATGTCTGGGCTCAGCTTTTGAGAGAACAGTCAGACCAGCTGTGGTCACCTGCTGCATTGAGAAAGATTATTGGTGTTTTTAAAAAATTCTCCTAATACCTTTCTATCACATTAGTAGGGCCTGAGCTTAAAGGCTGAGGCCCCAACACTGGGGTGTGGTTTACAAGGTCAAGAGCAAGCACTTCCAAAAAAAAAAATTTTTTTTTTAAACTAACAATTGAATGTGATATTTTGCAAAGCACTGTGGTTTTTCAAGCTTTATTTCAAATCTAGAAAATATTTGTATTATCGGTTTTCTTTTTCCACTCTTCCTTCTCTTTTTGATTCCTTTGGTTTCCTTTTGAGCATCTGGGCTATAAAATTCCCCATTATTGTTCCTTGGAGCAATATCTGAAATATGAAATGCAATCTTATTTGGAATTAAAAGAAAAATACAAGTGCAGGTAATGGGGCTTGAACACCAGCAGGAGAGAAGAGCGGTAACCGTGGAGGGACCTTGTCTAGTGAGGGTGGCAGGCGACAAGATATAATTTCACAACTGAAAAAAAGTAGATTTTACCATCTGAAATCAACTTAACTGTTCAAATGATTATTATTCCCCTGGTGTTTATAAAAACATATGAAATGAAAGGAGACAGGCTCAGACAGACTGAGTTTTCAGAAAGCATTCAACCCCCCAAGTCTGTTTTGCCCAGTGTTATGAATCCCAACCTGTCACTTGCACTGTCTGCAGAAAAGGGCTCTGCAGTCAACAGGCTGGCTCTGGACACTACATCCCCATTCCTGGCTCTGCCACCGATTCTGCAGGTGTCTCAGGGTAAGTCGCCTCCCTTGCCAAGCCTCAGTTTCCTCCTTTTTAAATAGGGGCCCTTCACAATCGTCCTGACTTAGGCTGTTGCTGGGATCTAATGCAGTAACATGTGGAAAGCCCTTACTGAAAGGTCTGTGTTTTGGTGAATGCTCAGTATGTTGTGTCTTGAAACTCTGCAAGAACAGAGTCACTGCAGGTTAAACAAGGTCCAGCCGTTGGCAGAGAGTTCCATAAAAGCCGTGGGAGAGAGGCTTCTCACACCAAACAGCAGATCTTAAGTAGGAGTGATTTGCCCCCCACTGGGAAACATTCTCAACATCTGGAGACATTTTGGGCTGTCATAGCAGTGTGCCTGAAGGAGGGGGAGGATACTAATGGCGTCTAATGGGTAGAGGCCAGGGTGCTGCTTAACATCCTATAGAACACTGGACTCCCACAACCAAGAATTATGTGGCCTCAAATGCCAATCGTGCAGAGGCTAAAAGCAACTCGCCTAGCTCAGTCCCTTTAACATCTTAGGCTCAGAGTTAATACAAGGTCGGACAGTTTAGTTTGTGAACTCATCCTAGGAAAGGGTCTGCCTACCTAGGTAGGTAGTTGGTGTAAATTGAGACCAGCCTGAGCAAGAGCGAGACCCCGTCTTTAAAAATAGGTGGGCGTTGTGGTGGACGCTTGTAGTGCCAGCTACTCAGGAGGCTGAGGCAAGAGGATCACTGGACCCCAACTGGCTGAGTTTCACTCCAGTCACCTTTGAAGTACTCCCGTTGGGAAGCTAGGCACAGACAGAGCACCTAGTCCACCCTCCACAACACTTTTTCTGGGATGAGTTCTTGAGCTTAATTGTCAGACCTCATAGGACGACAGCTCTGATGGCCATTCCAGAAAGAGATTTCCAAAATTGCTCTGAAGAGTGGACTAGGCACGGCCATGGGTGCAGAGCTTCCCAAGGGGGGTACTTCAGAGGTGACCATGGTGATATTTGGCAATGAGATCTATAGCATTTTTTCTAGGATGAGTTTTCCAACGTAATTGTCTTACCTCATACTTTCCTTTAAGGCCAAAATATATGTAAATGGAGTCTTGAGAGACCCAATTCCAAATGGGTCGAACACCGTTGAGAAAAGGGAGTTGGGGAAGAGTTAGAGAACGCCGATTTTAGCCTGGGAGGTAAGTCTAGAGGCAGAACCCCAGGATATAACCATGTTCTGTCTCAGGTTTTCGGTGCTGAGTAGAATGGAGACCCCCAGAGAGAATGAAACCCATGAAAGCCTGAGTTCACTCTAAAAAAGGATTCAGTTTGGTGAAAAGTAAAAATATTGCTGTTAATCTGGGTCCTGAGACTAAAGCACAGATAAGTTAACGCTAAGGGGACTAGAAATTCCTTAGGCCCATTTTAAAGTATAAGTCAAGATGAAGCCCTTGGGGAAGGCTTGTATGATTCAAACAAATGAACTAACTTGTGTCTGATTATCTTAAATTTGCACAAACCTTTTTGCACAAAGGACTTTCTGGATTTCTGTTGATAACAATCTCACAGAGGGGCCTGTATCTTTATAAAAATTCTGGACACCCTCCTAACTTCAGTTTAAGATCAAAGTACGATAAGACAAAGCAGAGGAATGAGATGGTGCCTGTAGTGTCATTGTCAGGGTTCAATCATCTTCCTCAGTCATGTAAGCAAAAGCAGTTATATGCTTCTCAGGTAAACAGACAATAGACTGTTCTATGTTTTGGAGATGGAAACCTGTGTCCTTTGTGTAGCAACCCATATAGCCTATGGCTAGGAGAAGTGAGAGTTATAAGAAATACCTGTATAGTTCAATAATGGAACACCTTGGTAAAAAGGGCATGATGAGGGATTTAGCTCTCCTAACAAGCATGAGAGAGCTCGTGCAGGGTGACCAGCTGTCCCACTTTTGGCGGGACAGTCCCACTTCTTAACAATTTGCCCCACTTCCTGCAGTGTTTTAAAAAAGTCTCGATTTTTGGAAAGAATGCACCAACGGGCAGGAGAACAGGAAGGGAATATACAGTTTTCGGCTGCCATGTGGCTATTTCGCCAGAATATGAGTTTATATTATTTTTGTTAATTTTATAATGTTAAACTGTAATAATAACAAATAATTGTTGAGAAGTG